TTAGGTTATTTTGGATAACAACAAACAAATTTAATAAAATTTAATTCTATGTTTTTCTCTCTATATAGAACATCTTCCTAAGAGAGCATCAAAGAGGTAATGAAACAGTACGGAATAACTAGACCAAAGTAAAGAAAGAGGGAGAGAGAGAGAGCGTGAGCACCTAGTCAAGTAGCGAGCATGGTAAATAGCCATTTTTGCCCTGAGGGTATTTACTTACCTGAGAAAATTAAAATTTTTGTCTTGACTTTCTTTCAAAGGCAAATGAACAGAAATCAAAGGCCAAAGCCCACATAAGTTGGGGAGTCTACCTGGGGAGACCCTACTCACAATAAATTAAGACTCATTTTTAGTATGGGAGTGAACTGGACGTGAAACACCCTATTCAAAATAAAGCTCAGCTTAAATCACCCAGGAATCCCAACCATTGAAAATTAGGATTAATTGGTCCTGGACTTACAGTGTCTTTCAGGACCTGGTAGAAGCAAATGCAAATATTCTTTGGAGCAAAGTACTTTAATTGTAAGCCTCAAATTATTCCTACAATTTTTCAAATACAAGCTCTAACACATGGTTAAAAATAACCAGAACCCCCCCAAAAAAACAACCCCAAAAAACAAACAAAAAAATCCTAGACTCCACGAGAGCCAGCAAAAACAAGGAACAACAGAAAAAGATCCTCGAACATTTCAGATATTGGAATTATCATCTACAGATAATAAAACTGTATCTAGGTAATCAAAGATAAAGTTGAAAATATCAGAGAACAAGAACTATGGAAAATTAAGATAGAAAATAAAAACAATAGTACTCTGTAAAATAAAAAAATACATGAAATTAAAAAATCAATAGGTGAGTTAATAGTAGATTAGAAAAAGTTAGAGAATTAGTGAACTGGAAGATAAATAGGAAATTATCCAGAGTGAGCATAAAAACACAAAAGATGCAAAATACAAAACAGAGAGTAAGCAACATAGATACAGAAGCTAACATATATTCAATCAGATTCCAGAAAGATACAGCAGAGACAATGAAGCAGAGCCAATATGCAGGGATAATGACTGAGAATTTTCCAGAACTGATGCAAGACACCACTATTTCAAGAAGCCTAAGAATCCCATAAAGAATTATTAAACACACACACACACCCCACACACACACAACACACTAAGCACAGCCAAGTAAAACTGATAAAAACAAAAAAGACAAAAATTTTACAGCAATAGTGATCAACTGATAGCTGACTTCTCAACAATAATGAAAAACAGAATATTTTCCACATTTTGAAGTAACTGCCCACCCAAGACTTCCTTTAAAAATGGATGTAAAATAAAGATATTTTTTAAATAAAATAAATAAAAGAGATTTTGACAGCAAGAAAAATAATCCAGCACTGGCCACATGGCTCAGTTGGTTGGAGCATCATCATCATTGAACACCAAAAAGTTCAGGGTTCAATCCCCAGTCATAGCACATACCCAGGTTGTGGGTTTGATCCCTACTCAAGACACCTATGGGAGGCAACTGATCAATGAGGGCTTTAAAAAGGGGGGGGGGGAGAAAAGAAGGAAGGAAGGAAGAGATTCCAGATGGAAGATGTGAGTTAAAGGAATGGAAGAAGAGCAAAGAAAGGAGTAATTGTCCTTGCCGATGCGGTTCAGTGGTTGAGTGCTGGCCTGCAAACTGAGAGATCACTGGTTCAATTCACAGTCAGGGCACATGCCTGGGATGCAGACCAGGTCTCCAGTTGGGGTTGAGCACAGGCAACCGATTCATGTATTTCTTGCACATTGATGTTTCTCTCCCTCTCTTTCTCCCTCCCTTCCCTTCTTTCTAAAAGTAAATAAATAAAATCTTTTTAAAAAGGAGTAATTATATAGATACATAAAAGTTAATATTGACTTTATTTTTTTTAACTTTCTTATTGATTATGCTGTTACAGTTGTTCTATTCCCCCCTTCATTCCCCTCCACCCTACCCCCCCATTCCCACTATTACCCCTTCCTCTCTCTCTGGAAATAAATAAATAAAATCTTAAAAATAAATTAAAGAAAAAAAAGACCTACTTCAGACTGAAAGATACACAGACCTAAAGTAAAGAGATGGAAAAAGATATTTCATGCAAATGGAAACAAAAATAAAAGCTGGAGTATCAATACTTACACCAGCAAAATAGACTTTAAAACAAAGGCTATAAATAAGAGACAAAGAAGGACATTCAATAATGGTAAAGGGATCAGTCCAATTAAGAGGTTATAACACTTGTAAATGTTTATGCAACCGACATAGGAGCATCTAAATTAATAAAGCAAATGTTGAAACACATAAAGGGAGAAATAGACAGTAATAGAGTTATAGTAGGGAATTTAAACACCCCATTGACATCACTGGATAGATCTTTTGACAGAAAATTAACAAGAAAACAGAGACCTTAAATGACACATTGGACCACGTGGATTCAATTGCTATTTTTGGACATTTCACTCCAAAGCAGCAGAATATACATTCTTTTCAAGTATACATGGAACATTTTCCAGGGTACATCACATGTTAGGTCACAAAACAAGTCTCAATAAATTAGAGAAAACTGAAATGTGTCAGCATCTTCTTCCTCCACAATGGTATAAAACTAGAAATCAATTACAAGAAAAAAACCTGAAAAACACACAAACACACAGAGGCTAAACAACATGCTACTATACAATGAATGGGTTAACAATGAGATTAAGAGAGAAATCAAAAGATAACTTGGGACAAATAAAAATGAAAACACAATCCAAAAATCTATGGGACACAGCAAAAGCAGTCTTAAGAGGGAAATTCAGCAATACAGGCCTACCTCAAGAAACAAAAAAAGTCTAAAAAAAAAATGTTACCTTATACCTAAAATAACTAGGAAAAGAACAACAAACAAAGCCCAGTGTGAGAAGAAAGGGAATAATAAAGATCAGAGATGAAATAAACAAAACAGAGTCTAAGAAAATAATACAAAAGATCAATGAAAACAAGAGCTGGTTCTTTGAAAATATAAACCAGATTGACAAGCCTTTAACCACACTCATCAAGAAAAAGAGAGAGAGGACCTGAACTAATAAAATCAAAAATGAAAGAGAAGTAACAACTGACACCACAGAAATACAGAGGATGGGACCTAAGATAGCCCCAAAATACACTGACAGAATTGAATGAAGAAATAGACGGTTTGACAACAATTGTTGGAGACTTCAATACCCCACTTTCAATGAGTAGACCAATAAGTAAATAAAGGACTTGAACTTTAAAGCCAGGCACTAAGATTCAACAATTAACAGCCAAAAATCTTTGCCCTAGAGGACCTTACAAAAAATAAACAAGATTTTAAAAGGTACACTACATGGTATACATAAAAATTAAACAGAGAAGGGAAACACTGTCACAGACTGTAGATTTTACTCAGTGTAGCTGGGAAAGACCTTACTTACTAAGAATATGATGTCTGAGTAAAGAGTGGTTTTCCTTACTCTCAATTATCGTTTACCATTCTATTTCAAATATGTGTGTAGTAGACAAACTCCCCATCTAGCTTGTGAGCACCTTGTTGGCAAGGGCTATTTCCAGCTCCTAGCATAGAGCTTACATATAGAAGAGCTATTTAATAGGCTTACTGAATACACAAATACATACATACATCTAGCACCAGTTTAGGGTCACAGCAGCTTATAAATTGCTACTTATGAATTGTCTACTAACATCTTTACTCTAGGTCTCCATGATAAATTAGTTTCTGTGTGGGCAGTTCTCCAGTTCAATGGGCTAGGTGAAAGGAATTTATTTGCTCAAGGGGTCAAACTCTGGACTAACCCAGAAATTGAGTATCTGATTAAATCAACAGTTAATAATGGGAAACATCTCTCAGACTGACTTGGTCTCAGAAACGTATTATCATATTTTATAGGATATAATGTGTACTTTGTTGCCCAAATTTTTCAGAGAAAAAAATAAGGATGTGTATTAAACATGGGTAGTACTGAAATACCTTGTATCTGTTCTTGTGTTTTGTAATTGTTACATAAAATTTCTTGGCCATGGCTGGTGTAGCTCAGTGGATTGAGCACAGGCCAGTTTGGTTCCCAGTCAGGGCACATGTCTGGATTGTGGGCCAGGTTTCCCATGGGGGGTGCACAAGAGGTAACCACATATTGACATTTCTCTCCCTGTCTTTCTCCTTCTCTTCCCCTGTCTCTAAAAATAAATAAATAAAATAAAAATTTCTTGTACCATAATATGTTCAAAAATAATGCTAAAATCCTTTATAAGGCAAAAAAGTATCTAAATATAAATGAATAAAACATTGAATTAAACATTAAAATGAAAGACTTTTTTCCTGAAAGGTTGGGCCAAAAATGTGGGTGCATGTTATACACAAGAGCACATTATACACAGCAAAATATGGTAATTTGCCCTTACCACATATTTTACACGTAAAAACAGAAGCTCATAAAAGTCAAAATTCTAATTAGAAACATGTTTGCCATGCCCTAGCTGGTGTGGCTCAGTGGATTGAGTGTCAGCCTACAAACTAAAAGGTCTCCGATCCTATTCTGGGTCAGGACACAGGTCTGGGTGTGGGCCAGATCTCCAGTTAGAGGCATGCAAAAGGCAACCAATCAATGTATCTCTTGCACACCCATGTTTTCCTCCCCTCCCACTCCCCCTCTCTAAAAATAAATAAATAAGCCCTGGCTGGTGTTGCTCAGTGGATTGAGTGCGGGCCTGCAAAGCTAAGGGTCCCCAGTTTGATTCCCAGTCAGAGCACATGCCTGGGTTGTGGGCCAGATCCCTAGTAGGGCTTGTGTAAGAGGCAACCACACACTGTTGTTCCTCTCCCTCTCTTTCTCCCTCCCTTCCCCTCTAAAAATAAATAAAAATCTGTAAATAAATAAACAAAAAATAAATAAATAAATAAAATCTTTTTTAAAAGAAAGAAATGTGTTATGACCCCTGAGACCACTTCTCCTGACCTGCACCAAGCTCATCTCCAGCTGCAAAGCATCTCTCTCTCTCCGAGCTATATCCAGCTCTCCTTCCAACCGCCGCACCTCAGACTGCATCGATGCCAGCTGCTGCTGGGCCTCCCGGGCAGCCTGGGCCTCCCTCTGTGTGTTCCCCTGAGAAAGAGAATCAAACTTAAGTATATACCAAATTTTCTGTCTCCTAGTTACCTCTATTTTCCAATTCCTCCCCCACAACCACCCAAACCCCAAGCTTCCTTTCCTTCTCTTCACATTTGACCTAGTTCCTAATCTCTGTTTAGTCTTTCTCTTTGGTCTCCCATGTATTCGATGCCCCGAGCCTTTCTAACTGGGCCCACGCTCTCCATCTTGTTTCCCACATATGCACTAACTAGTTCTTTAGTCTCCATCTGAGTCCCCTATACTCCATATTCTGACATCTCATCTCATTCCATCATCTTGCCCTTCATCCGTTCCTCATTCCCCAACTGCTGCTTTTACCTTCTCCCTTTCCAACTGAGCCTGGTCCTCCTCCTGCAGTGCCTGGTAGCGTTCCTTAAACTGGCGCTCTTGCTGGATGCAGGTCTGTCGTTCTTTTTCTAGGGTCACCTGAAGTGTCTCCAACTGTCGATGCTCACTGAGCTGCCCAGCACGAGCCTCATCCCGTTCTTCCTGCAGGGCTCGAGACTGCTGCTGTTCTAGCTCCAATCTCAAGGCCAGAGCTTGCCTTTCCTCTTCCTAGAGCCCCAGGAGAAGACCAAGATACTCAGCATGCCTTCAAGAGACCAGCAACATGCCCCCTCACCTCCCATACAATGTGCCTGCTGAGAATTGTGTCCATTAAAAATACAAAAGCTGCCAAGGCAACAGGATTATAATATAGTAGGTAAGAGCTTCTGTTCCAGAAATAGGTAAATCTGGATTCAAATCTCAGTTTGAGTCCCAGCTCTGTCATTTACTATGTGTCCTTAGGTATACATCCTCATCTGTGAAATGGGCAGGCATAGTATTATCGTCTACTTTGTGAAGTGACAACAGTATGTAAAGCATTTAGCACAGTGTCTGGCATGTAGTAAGTACTCAGTATATAATAGCCATCACCATCATCAAAAGAAATTCCACAAAAAATAGAATATCCAGCCTGCCATCGTGTACTAGCCAACCAGCAACTATCATCAACACTGCTGGATGTAGCCTGTTAAGATTCTAAGTACCAGCATGAAGGCGAAGAACTTCCAGCCAAGATGGAGGTGTAGGTGAAAACATTATGCCTCCTGGCACAACCAAAATTAAGGACAACAAAGATTTAGAAACAAAAACACAACCAGAACAACAGAAAACTGAACTGTACAGAAGTCCGACAACCATTCATCCAGACTGGTAAGGAGCGGAGTCAGTGGCCGACGGAGAGGGTTTGCAGCAGGAAAAAGCGGTGGCTGGTGGACCCAGGAGCACAAGCAGTGCAGGGCTAGCAGACCCCGGGGTGAGGGGAGGAAACCAGCAAACCCAGTGTGGCTCACAAGGCTGCTGGGTGACTGCGGTCACACATTCGCATGCAGATAAACCAGGCAAAAACAGGCAGCAAGACACACCAAGAAACCCAGGGCCCCAGCACCAGGAAATAAAGCCTAAAAGCACCGATTGAAAACATTTGTGGGGGCTGAGGTGCAGGGAGAGACTCCCAGCCTCACAAAAGAGTTTGTTGGAGAGACCCACAGGGTCCTAGAATGTACACAAGCCCACCCACCTGGGAACCAGCACCAGAAGGGCCCCATCTGCTTGTGGGAAGCTGCAGAGGGAACTGAAATCCCAGAGAGAGCAGATCAAGCGCCATTATTCTCTATCTGACCCAACCCCCATACAGTGTCACAACCCAGTGACCTGGATGGCACCACCCTGGTGAACATCTAAGGCTCCGCCCCTCATACATAACAGGCATGAACAGACCAGAACATTATGGCTCAAGCAGAAGAACAACTCAAAAGCCGCGAAGCCAATACTTTTAAGCGACCAAAAGCCAGCCAACCTATCAGATGTACAGTTCAAAACACTGGTGATCAGGATGCTCACAGAACTGGTTGATTTTAGGCACAAATTAGATGAAAAAATGAAGGCTACACTAAGTGAAATGAAGAAAAATGCACAGGGAACCAATAGCGATGGGAAGAAAACTGGGACTCAAATCAATGGAGTGGACCAGAAGGAAGAAAGAAACATCCAACCAGAAAAGAATGAAGAAATAAGAATTCAAAAAAATGAGGAGAGGCTTAGGAACCTCCAGGACATCTTTAAACGTTCCAACATCCGAATTATAGGGGTACCAGAAGGGGAAGAGGAACAGCCACAAGTGGAACACTAGTGGAACAAATAATAAAGGAGAACTTCCCTAATCTGGCAAAGGAAATAGACTTTCAGGAAATCCAGGAAGTTCAAAGAGTCCCAAAGAAGGTGGATCCAAGGAGGAACACACCAAGGCACATCATAATTACATTAGCCAAGATTAAAATGGAGAGAATTCTAGAAGCAGCAAGAGATAAGAGGACAGTCACCTACAAAAACGTTCCCATCAGACTGTCAGCTAATATCTCAAAAGAGATCTTACAGGCAAGAAGGGACTGGAAAGAAGTATTCCAAGTCATGAAATCCGAAGACCTACATCCAAGATTGCTCTATCCAGCAAAGCTTTCATTTAGAATGGAAGGGCAGTAAAAGTGCTTCTCAGATAAGGTCAAATTCAAGGAGTTCATCATCGCCAAGCCTTTATTATATGAAATGTTAAAGGGACTTATCTAAGAAAAAGAAGATAAAAAAGATGAACAGTGAAAGGACAGCCAACTCACAGTTATTAACAACCACACCTAAAACAAAAGCAAACTAAGAGGACAGCTAGATCAGGAGTGGAACCATAGAAATGGAGATCACATGGAGGGTTAGCAACAGGGAAGTGGGAGGAGGAGAAGGGAGGAGTAGGTACAGAGAATAAGTAGCATAGACGGTGGGGAGAAAATAGATGGGGGGAGGGCAAGAGTAGTGTGGGAAATGCAGAAACTAAAGAACTTATGACACATGGACATGAACTAAAGTGGGGGAATGTGGGTGGTAAGGGGTGTGCAGGGTGGAGGGGAATGAAGGGGGGAAATGGGACAACTTCAATGGCATAATCAATAAAATATTTTTTAAAAAAGATTCTAAGTACCAGCATGCATACAGCAAGCATGTGCCATGCATGCAACAAGTTCCAAACCTGGCTACTAATTCACATAGGTAATCACGTTATCATTTCAGTAATAAGAAACTCAAATGAGTCTCATCTCACACCTTTTTGGCTATGCCCTAGACTATAGTTCCCAAACCTGGCTGAATAAAATCACAAAGGAAATTCCTGAAAATCTTTTGTTTCCTAAACCCCACCATATATCTACTGAATCAACTTCTGGGGATGGGTCCCAGAGATTAATATTTTACAATAATTTCCCAGATGATTCTAATAATTTGAAGTCTGTCAAACTCACTTGGTGGCAGAGTCCTTTTTGTAGAGTATCCAGCAGAACTAGTGTTCTAAGGAACACTCTTTGGGAACTACTGCCATGGAGCAACTGAAGTCATGAACTCCCACAATCCACCAACATCCCAAGCCCTCTAGAAGTAATTAACATAACGGCCTCTGTTGGAATTAACCCAGCCCAGCATTCTCACCAGCATCTCTCTTTCCCGGTGCTGTAGTCTGGCAGCTTCCTGCTCACGATTCAGGGCCTCCATGGCCTCAGAAAGACTTTGTTCCAGGCGGGTTACTGTCTTTCAGGAAAAGGGTTACACAGGACAGAGGAACTGAAGGAAATCTCTATGTTATACAAAAAGCATTAACAATGTAAACTTTAAAATTAAGGGTTAAGTCAATTACTTGAGGGCCAAAAAGACTGACTACATGGTATAGGAAAAGCTGGGAAGACATCAACGATGCATGTTTGACAGCAGAAACAGTGAAGGGAGCAGAAATAGGAGAGAACTGTCAGGCTGGCTACTGCAAGATTCAGGTCAGTCTTGGAGGAACTTTAATTCCAGGGCTATTTCAACCCCCTCATTCTAGCAACCAGTGACTTAGGTTACATAACCCACATTGCCCACCTCCTGCTGCTTGCTCCTAGTGAGTTCAGCTGCCTGGCGTTCTTCCTGGAGTCCCCGAAGTACTTCTGTGCGCTCAGCTTCATGCTGGTTCCAGCCCTCTACCACACGGGCCAGGGTCTCAGGAGAGGAAAGTCAGATGTAATTCCAAAATAATATTTTTGCCTTCCTTCTGCCCATGGGGGCAAGGTCAACAGCCACCTTCTCTCAGTAGCCAGTAAGCCCACCCCTTACCCCAGCTCCTAGAATGAACAAAAGATGTTGGTTGGCCACCCCCTATTCACTGTAGTGCACCCCATGGAGAGACCCACCACATTCTGCTACCCTGGCACCTTGTCCAGTTGTTCAATCATGATATCTTTCTTGCGGTCAGCATTCACAGCCACAGCTAACTGTTGCTGAAGCTCTAGCACACGGGTCTGTAGGTTCTGAATATGACGCTCACAATGCTGGGAAGAAGGATAAAGAAACTGAGTATTGCCATCCTTAGTCTGACCAAAGCACCAAACTTTCCAGCTAGGTGGAAATGGGCTGGAGACAGGAAATGGGCTGTGTCCCAAGGGCAGATTAGGTTTGGAAGAGAATCAGGAATTCTGGAGCAGAAACCTTAGGGCCCAAGACTTCTAACACCTTCCTCTACCATCTCAGAAAGCAGGGGCTTAGCTTCCAGGCTCTTCTTTTCCCTAGACCCCCTGAGAAAATTTCCACAGACCTTTTGGTGGGGGTGCAGCAGCCCACACTGCAAAGAGTGGGAAGTTACTCCTGCTTTGAGAAGCTCATTGAACACAGTGATTAAACATCGCAAGGATAAAGGCAAAACCTATCACTCGTACCCAGGCAGGTAAAAACAGAAGAGAAGGTTCCAAAAATGACAACACAACCAATGATTTTGACTTTTCTTCTGCCTTGTCCCTCTTTTTTCCTATATCAGACAGGCTGAAGTTCAGAGGGATAAAACTCACTATATCAGCAGCTATAAAGCCTTTGTACAAGACAACAAAATTCATTGCTCATTCACCAAACACTTATGGAGTGCTTCTATGTGTTTGGTATATTCTAAATTTTAGGAAGACAGTGCTAAAAAAGATAAGGTATGACCTCATGGAGCTTAGACTTTAGAAGAGCAAAATAAGCAAGATACATTAGACTGTGATAAGCTACATGAAGGATATAACAGAGTAATGAATACCTGGAGGAGAAGTGTGTGATTTTAGATAGAATGGTGGAAGAAGGCGTTCCCGAAGAGCCATTAGAGCAAAGCCCCAGCTTTGGTCCCTTAACCCTCTTCCCTTCTTAGCACTTAGCCCTATTTCTAATCTTTGCTGCTTCCAAAAGAAAGTCTTTATATCTCACCTTGCGACGAGTATGCTCTGAATCCAGTGCATCTCTCAGGCCCTGAAAATCCGGGGGATTTAGTGGGGGTCCTGGCCGAAGGCTGGTGTAGCGGGGAAACAACTCCTCCAGGGCTTGGGCTGAACTGGATGGAGATAAGTCTTGCAGGGGCCGGGTGCTGAGCAAATCAGGTAGAAATATTAGAATTGGCAAAGCTTTTCAGACCCATAAGTCCAACTGTGACATCTTACAAAGGAGGAAACTGAAAGCACAAGAGACTTGGCCGATGTCTTCAAGTTAGGTAATGACAGAACCATACACAGCACATAGGTCCTATGATTCACTCTGTAGTGCTCCTTCCTCCAGGCCACACTCCTTGTGGTAAAAGTCTCCACAGAAGCAAGCTAACTCTTCTGGGAGAAGGAGGAGTAGAGGCTGGGAAAAGGCCAGGTACTAGGCAGTAGGTGCCCAAGTTCCTGAAGAAGTAAAGGGAGTAGAAGATAGGAGAGAAAGGATAAAACTAAAAGCTAAGTGGCAAGTGTTTTAAGCCTTAAGAGGTACAATAGCACTAAAGGAAGAACTAAGAAATAGAACACTTGGCTCTGCAAGAGAGAGAGAGCAATCAAGCTAGAAGAATCCCAAGGGGAACTCACTTAAGCAAGGTGGCTGTGCTTTCACTGTCAAAGGAGTCTTCTTCCCGTCTCTCTGAGCCAGCACCTGGAGTAAGGGGATCCCCTGCAGGGACCCAAAGGGACCCCACAGCCAGCAAGGATCAGGTATGTAAGGATAGAAACAAGGGCCACTTGAAGGAAGAGAAAGCAGAGAGCCTTCCTTTCTATTTCACCCACTCCTCCAGCCCTTCTCCCAAAGAACTGAAGCCTTTCCTCCTGAAATCTTGTCTCAGAGGTCTAGGTTCCCCTCGCACCTGCTTCCTTTCTCTACTTTCTCCCACTCCTTAAATCTAGGTTCTCCTTTATAGGGAAGGGATTTACTCACGGTAGGCTGCATCACGTGAGGTTTGGAGCATGCTCTGGAGTTGACCCCGAACACTTTCCATCTCAAAGATATGCTTGGAACCATCCTAGAAAAAAGTAACAGAAATCAGAAGCAACTTGAATAATCTATATTCTACCTACTGCCAGGGTAGAAGGCATCCAGTACCCCCTAAAACCCAAGAATTTTTACTCCAGCACCTGGGAAAGCAAGAACAAGAGAACTAACTGACCTGATAAAGGTCAGAAACTCAAATGTATACAGATGCCAGACAGGTGGTGTAAATAAATTAATATGGCACATTAAAACAAGAGTAGTGAGGATTCTTGCCAACTAGAGAGCAAACAACCTGCCTAGAAACTGTAGCCCATGGCTATCAGTTTTTCAAACTCTGGAAATTAGTTATGAGACCTTTTCAATGAAACACTAATAACTATTTTCCTCTGTAATATGTGTAATTTATTAAACTATGTCTTAATGATTTACATGCCTAATTTTGAACCATACAATCAAAACAGTTTTGAACTGAAACAATCTTAGCATATTTTGCTGCTATCCTTAAGTCTCTAGTCACCTCTTAGGATGAAGAAAACATAGCCTCAGCCCTGGCGGGTGTGGCTCAGTTGGTTGGAGCATCATCCCATAGACCAAAAGATTAAGGGTTTGATCCCTGGTCGGGGCACATACCCAGGTTGAAGGTTCACTTCCCCTATTGGGCATGTACAAGAACGCAACCAATCGATGTTTCTTTTCCTGCTCCCCATACTCTCTAAAAGGGAGAGAGGGAGGGAGGGAGGGAGAGAGAGAGAAAGGCAGTGAAAAAAGTCCTCAGGTGAGGATTTTTTAAAAAGAAAGAAAAAGAAACCTTATCCTCACTTCCAGGTCTCAAATCTCAGTCAAAGAAGCAGGGCAACCTGTCCCACACTGCAGGTATCTCTGACAAAGAAAACACTGGGACATTTTACAACTTCCCAAATTCTGGTGTCCCAGGCCTCTCTCACTCATAAACATTTGCTCCCAGAAACAGATGACTGACTCTGTACTTAAAAGGAATATGAAATCCAACAATAGTTCAAATCTCAGTAAAGCTTTTCTTTTTTACCACTCCCAATCTCAAGACCCAAGAGGTCCTCCAGACACACCTCCCTCACCTTTTTCTTCAAGTTGTTCTCCAATCCAACCGACAAACTGCGGCTCAGCTCTTGGGCCAAGCTGTCTAACCCTTCATGAGGCGGTAGGGAAGTGGAGGGTAAATACAGCTGGGCTCGGGCTGTGGCCTCTGCTTGACGACTGAGGTGCAAAGAAGCATAGAGCTGGGAGGTCACCTCCGAGGACACTTGGTTCAGCCCAGGGGCTTCTGATGAATCACTCAAGAGATCCTCGGCCTGGAGAGGTGAACTAGGGCTGGTAGCTGATGTCGCCATGAGTACAGGAAAGAGACAACTGGAGGCAGCAGAGGTGGGAACTTCTGGTTCTGCTTTAGGAAAGCCCAGGGGGTAGAGTATACAGAGAAGGAAGATTTGGGAGAAAGGGGGAAGAGTCCAAGCCAAGGAATCTTGGTGAATAAGGGTATGGAGGCTTTCTGGTTACAGGAAAGATTCCCACCGGTACTACAGGTCATGGGAGAGAGCAAAACCATTTCTTTCCATAGCTCCTGGAAACTGTGGAAAAGGAGGGTACAGCAAGGAGTGAGTGAGGGACAAAAATACCCCTGAAGTTCATCTGGAGTGCTGAAAGGTGCAGATCAACTTCTGGCACAGGCTATCACTGGTCAGTTCAGCTCTTAAGTTCTCACACCCAGAACGTGCAAACTGAAACAAACCCAAGTCAAATAGTGGCCTAATTTGCGTCCAGCTGCCTTACCTGCCCCTCAGCTGGCTCCAGTCTCAGACAGGAATACCACGTTCCCCACCTCCCCACTCCCCTCTGCCCACTGCACGGTTCTACCCAGGGGCAACTGTCTTGTACATCCCCCCGCAACCCCTCCTACTACGAAAGCCATGACAAGGCTCCCTAGAATCCCTCCCTTCCCACTACCGCAAAAGAAACTTCGTGAACACTCAATCACACCCTCAGAATGTCCCTAAAAAGTACCTAGCCTGAAATGTTGTACCTTAATTACTCCGTTCCGACTATCCCACACCTCCGGTCTTCAGCCCCCCAATCTGTCACGGATAGCCCCCTGCGCGAGCCCGGATCCGGAAAGACCTAGACCTCCCCTCTCGCGCCCTTCGCTACACTCAAAACCGTTGGCACCCGCCTGCCCACTGCCCAAAGCCCCGCCTCTCTTTCCTCGATGACGTCACCAGCCCGAGGACCTAGCTCGCTGCTGCACTTACGGCATCAGGAGCCTGGAAGCCGGAACGCGCGTGCGCGGGCCCGACGGCGGCCGCGAATAGGCTGAGAGAGATATTGGGACGCTATTATAGCTCCTTGGCAGCACTGGGACCCGGTGGGGCGGGGCTCCGTGAAAACCGGAAGCATCTAGTGACAGGCACTCGGAGCAGTTCCGGTGAGTTCAGGGGAGGGGACCTCGCCTGGTCGGAGGGATCCAGGACAGAAAACTGGGACCTACAGAGGGTGGGCGGTCCCGGAGCGAAGCTCACATTCTGTGTCCTGCAGATGACTGTCCACAACCTGTACCTGTTTGACCGAAATGGAGTGTGTCTGCATTACAGCGAGTGGCACCGCAAGAAGCAAGCGGGGATCCCCAAGGAGGAGGTGACGAGAGGGCCACGCGCAACCGGGTGACCTCTCATCTCCAGACGCACATAGTCCCAGTCCAGTCACCCCTCTCCAAATACTGGCTCGTTCCTGCCCCTGGCCTGTCTGCTTTAACAACCAAGAGCTAACTCTGCCCCTCTCCCTCCAGGAGTTCAAGCTGATGTACGGGATGCTGTTCTCTATCCGCTCCTTTGTCAGCAAGATGTCCCCGCTAGACATGTATGCGGAGTCCGGAGTCAGAGGGGAGGTCGAGGGGAGGAATAGCCTTGGGAATTGGGGCGGGGCGGGGTGGGAGGAGCTTTCTGGGGTGGGAGGGGCATTTGGCTCCCCGGGAGAGGAAGCTAATCTGAAGCAAGAATGCTGGAACTGGAAGAAGCCGAGGTGAGGAAAATCTGAAAGTAGAAAGGTTGGATGTGGGGGCCAAATGGGGGTTGCGAGGCTGGAAAATGAGAGATGTCTTTACCCAGCCAGACTCCTGCAAATGTATTTAGAGAGAAGAGTCGATCTAAAGAGGATTAGAAGTGTCTTTCTGGGAGAAATTCCTCTCCCATTCCTTAACGTCCTCCTCATCTCTGCAGGAAGGATGGCTTTCTGTCCTTCCAGACTAGCCGTTACAAACTCCATTACTACGAGACCCCCACTGGGATCAAGGTTGTCATGAATACTGACTTGGGCGTGGGACCCATCCGAGACGTGCTGCACCACATCTACAGTTCGGTCAGTGCCAGACCCTGGGACCCTTCTCCCAAAGCTCCTCAACAGTAATGGCCGTGTAGAGAGCCCTAAGACTCCTTCAGATTCCCTGCCAGGATACTACTGTAGTGTATCTCTATAGAAGTCAGAGTCTTCAACACTCCCACCACCAGTTTCTCCTCAAGGAGGGCTTGCCTCCTTGCCCTTGATCCTAGTGCATTTGCACATCCCTGAGGTTATACTAAGTTTAGAGTTGGAAACAAGAAGTGTCCAAAGCCTGGCTCTAACACCTTCTCTCCCCATAGCTGTACGTGGAGCTGGTGGTGAAGAATCCCCTGTGCCCGCTGGGACAGACTGTACAAAGTGAGCTCTTCCGCTCCCGACTGGACTCCTACGTCCGCTCTCTGCCCTTTTTCTCTGCCAGGGCTGGCTGAAGGATGCACCCTACCTCACCCCTCAGGAGAACCTCTGTCTACCTGCCCCTCCAACCCCTCTAGCTCCCAGGCAGCCCACCCTGGTGCCCTCCCCGTTACCTCCAAACCAGGCCCTCTCTCTAGGTTTATCCTCTACCAGACGCCCTGAGAAGTCTAGAATAAACTTCTTGTCACTCTGTGGCTTGAGTGTGTCAGTTTGGGTGGTAGGTTGGGGCCCTGCCCTGCTCACGGAGGGTGGCCGGCCACATCCTCTGAGCCTGACCAGAGGTTTCTCAATAACAGCACTACTAACATTTCTGGCTAGATGATTCATTGGGGGGGGGAGGGAGAGGGGAGAGGGGTGCTGTTCTGTGCTTTGTCTTGGACGCCACTCACTAGATGCTGTTAGCACATCCTTCCCTGTCGCCGGTGGTGATAGTCAAAAAAGATCTTGTCAAACGTCCCCTGGGGGACTAAATCATCCCCTACTGAGAACCACTGAGTTGAAAACAGATGGTATCCAAAACCACCCTCCCGGGTTCTACTCTCCAGCTTTTGAGTATGCCCAAGATGCAAGCTATAGAGCTTCGGAAGGTGGGGTTTATGCAGATACTGGCAAGATTAACTAGGAGGCAGGCGGGTTTATGCAAACGAGGGGGTGGTGCCTGCATGAGGATTAGCTGAGCTTGCTGCAGACGCGGCTGGGAGCCTCGCAGGTCCCACTGCAGATCAGGCTGAGGTGGCACCTCTCTCCCCTACCCCCAACTGTCCCTAGGTCCCTACCCTCCTAGGATCGCCCTCCACCTCTACTGTCATTCATTTCCCCCTTCTCCTCCCTGCTCCAGTGCCCACGTAGACGAGTAACTCCCCTCGTGGTTCTCCCTGTGTTTCTCTCCTCCCACAGCAAACCCCCGCGACCTCCAACAGCCCGCCCCCGCGGGCCCAATCCTGCCTGCTGACTCCCTCTGCAGCCTCCTCAGCCTTCCCGCTCTCCTCAGGGCTGGAGCCACTACATCCCTATTTGTCCGCCCTCGGGCTTCCAGGCTTCCTCCCACACCACCCCCTCGGAGCCCCCTCACCGACCCTGGCCAGCCGGCATGCAGGTGTCTATCGCGTGTACTGAGCAGAACCTTCGCAGCCGAAGCAGCGAGGACCGTCTGTGTGGACCCAGGCCGGGCCCCGGGGGCAGCAATGGTGGGCCGGTCAGCGGGGTGCATGGGAATCCTCCAGGAGGAGGAGGGCCAGGCCCCAAGGCCCGAGGTGCAGTGGTCCACCGACCCCCAGCGCCCGCTGGGGCCCTCCGTGAGAGCACCGGCCGCAGCACTGGCATGAAATACAGGTATGGGGGTAGCTGGGCAGCCCGCCCCATCTGCTTCCCTTTCCTGACCTGAGGCTTTCTGAGATGCCTCCAGGACCCCCTCAAACTTCGCTCAGAAGGTCCTGGCTCATTCTATCTCTTCTTCCCATAACTAGCACTCCCTTACTTTGCCTCTCTCTCGGTCTCCCTCCATACCCAGGACTAGGAGAAATTCAAGTTTACCAATATTAATGGGTCCTCTCAGACCCAGGGGCTGCTCCTGAGCTTTTCTCCTTACCCCCAGGAAAGCCAGGGATGCATGAATCTCCAGCACTCCCCCTCCCCCCCAAGATATAGTGTCCTTGGGTCAATGTCCTGGGAAGAGGTGGAGGAAGGAAAGGGCTTCCCGGGCCTGCTCAGGGTGCATGACCCAGATACTGGCCCTACCTGCCCCATGGGCCCAGTCTCCAGTGACCTTTCCTGAGGGGACAGAAGTAGGGCCCTGGGAAGGATGGGCCACATCTCTCAACCCCATGCTGAGGAAGAGGGGTCAGGTGAGGAAGGTGGACTGTAATGTAACAGACTTTATCTCCGGGAACTGCTGGGCTCTCAGAACTACTAATAGGGGGATGGGATGGGTAGGGGGTTCCTGCTTGGGAGTGAGAAGAGATCACTAACCTTATGGAGCTTTGGCAGTTAAGAAATTTGATCCCCTGGGTGTGGCAGCCCTGTTTGGGAGACTGAGCCAACAACCTGAGTGGGGGTTTTGGAAGGTGGGGGCTCTCTGGTTCAGAGACAAACTTCACAAGCCCACAGGAGCAAAGGGAGTGGAGAGGGGAAGAGGAAGAACTGGCCTGTCCCATTGTTCCTGTCATACTCCCCACAGAGGTTTCCTACCTACCTGTGTTGGAGGTCTATCTGCCTAGCCTATCCAGGGACACTTCCCTGCCTGAGTGACTGAATTCGACTTGGTTTACCTCTCCATCTCTGGTATCTGCCCTTTAGCATAGCGCTCTCTGTCTGAAGGTCTGTTTTCACAAACTCACCACGATCTACCAGTCACATTTCTCTAGGCCCCCAACTCCACACATGCTAGAGATGACTCAAACACAAACAACATCCCACAGAAGAAACACAAACCAGGCAGCACATCTCCAATGTGTTAGGAGGGAAGAAAGGCACTGGACAGTGGATCCAGCAGAACAGTCATTTATTTGTTCACTTATGCTATGGGCACAGTACTGCCCAATTCAGTAGCCCACTGGATCTGGTTTCTTTGGACTGAGACACAGCGAGGGCTTCTTATTCTTGGAGGAGAGGAAGTGGGAGCTGATCATCTGTGTCCCTAATGGAGGCTCCACAGCTTCCTGCTACTTCTGTCTCCTGCAGAAACCTAGGAAAGTCTGGTCTTCGGGTGTCCTGTCTTGGCCTAGGTGAGTTAGAAAGGATTTAAGGGAAGGGTGTTCTTTTATGGCTTGCCTCCCACAGTTCTCACGTGCCTGGCTTCCCTCTTGCAGGTACCTGGGTCACATTTGGTTCTCAGATCTCGGATGAGGTATAAGTGATGGGACCTAGAAGCAGGGTGAGGGGCTATGAGGGAACCAGAACCAGGGGAAATGGACTTGGATAGGGGTCTGGACAACAAGCACTGGTGGATGGGGTGCAAGGCTGGAGGGTGAGGAAAGGGGAGAGAATCTGGAAGCAAGACTGAGGTGCTATGGGCCAGGGTGCAGTGAGGGAGGTAATTGTGGGGCCAGCGGTTGATCTTCAACTCTTTCTCTCACCTCCCTAGACAGCAGAGGATGTGCTGACAGTAGCCTACGAGCATGGTATAAACCTGTTTGACACCACCGAAATTTATGCAGCTGGAAAGTAAGGAAAGTTATGTTTAGAAGATGAGAGAACATCAGGGCTTCCTGTTTTCTCTCTTAAGAGCCCCGGGAATTCTGCCAACACTAAGTTCTAACATATCAGCCGGTGGGCCCCCAAAACATAGGGGACTCACAGTTCCAAACATCAGTCCTTCTCCAGCTTAGGAGGCAATGGGCAGGCTGTGCAGTCAAAATAAAATAAAACCAACAAATACATCTTGGGTATCAGTTATGTGCAACTGTGTGGGGATTTCAAAGCTAAATTTTCAAACACACTGTGCCACTTCACACACCCATGGCTTCACACCGGTAGTAGCCCAAACCTATGTTGACTACCCCTACATCTTCTTCATTTGGATGACTCTCTGCTCACCTTCAAGACTTGGCCCAAATGTCAGCTCCTCCAAGAAGCCTTCACACAATTCTCCAAAGTTGATCATTACCCGCTTCAGTTTCCAAAGCACTTTACACTGCCCTCTGACACACCAGTATCAATTACTGGTTCATGTGGCCATATTTGCTGCTCAGTTGGGATTCTCCTCCTTCCATGAACTCTGTCTTGCTTTCCCCTATATCACCTAAGTACCTGCACAGAGCCAAGCACAGAGCAGGCACTGCTTGTGGAACGCCATAGACATGCCCTCAATGTGCTCACAGCCTCAGTGGTTATACAGACAAACCAAGACGACAGGGAGCTATGAAAGGCTGAGTAACAGTCCACTGTAACAGACTTGTTAGACCTTAGCTCATAGTTAAGTTCTGAAGAATTAGGTGGCCCAGAGGTTTTCAATCTTTTTCATCTCCTGGTGTACATAAACTAATTACTAAAATTCTATGGCACGCCAAAAAAAAAAAAAAAAAGAATTTTGCCTATCTAACAAAAAATAGGTATACTTTTGATTCATTCACACCAGATGACTATTGTGTTTGCTGTTGTATTTTTTAAATTTGACAATCTAAGTGAAAAGAGGTCAGAGCCCCTGACTAAATAGTCAGGTGTTGCATATTTTAAAAATTCTTGTGGCAGACCAGTGTGCCACATCACACCAGGTAAAAATCACTGGTGTAGCCAATAAGAGCTATGGAAACTGGTAAGAAGGACTGACCATAGTCTATAAGATTCAGAGAACATTTTCCATTCTGTTCAGAGGTAGAATCTGAACTAAGCTTTAGAGGATAGATGGGATTTTGCAGAGACCCAAGGGGGAAGGCAACACAGATGACTGGAACCAGTGTGTCCCTAGTCTGTCCCACTCCCCTCCTCCTATTCTTTCCCTTCCGAACTCAGGCCAGAGCTTGGTACATAGTTGAATGATTGAATGAAAATTGTACAACTGTACCCCTAGCTCCAGGAGCCTCTTTTATTTAGTCCAGGATGGGGCCTTCAGCCCATGGGCTCCTGGTTTATGCTCCACTTTACAAGAGAGGAAATTGGTTTAAGGGAAAGGGGGGGGGAGAAGGGAAGGAACTGATCCACCTTCAAGGGGTCAGTGCTTCTACACTGTCTTTCTTCCAGGGCTGAAAGAACTCTAGGCAACATCCTCAAGAGCAAAGGTTGGAGGTGAGAGGGTGTTTGTGGGGGTGAGGGTTGCTGGGATGTGATCATCAAAAAATCCTTTTCTTGCGGGTTCCCCCATTTCTCTTTTTCCAGGAGATCAAGCTATGTCATCACCACCAAGATTTTTTGGGGAGGACAGTAAGTGGCTGCCCCCCTATAACTGGGGAGATCTACATAGAGGATATGTGCGGGTGTATGGGATAGGTAGGGGTGGTGACGGCTGTCCCCACACTTGCTACCCCAGGTCTGCTTCTTGCCTGTGAAAACCAGTGCAATCCCCAGTTCCTCATGGTGCCAGCCCAGCGCTGATCTCCTCCTACCTTTGTAACACCTCAGCTTTGACTTTCCTTTTTGTACAGGGCAGAAACTGAGCGAGGCTTGAGCCGCAAACACATCATCGAGGGTGAGAGTTAAACACTGAGAACCTGCAGTGGCTTGGTATGGAAGCCAGAGAAGTTGGGGATATTCTCTGA